TGGACTGACTGAGCTTCAGTTCTTAAAGTGATGATGTCATTTCTCGTTACTCAGCTGATTCTGTCAAACATGGCTGTCAGCTGAGTACCAACCTGACTGCTGCACAACACAACTGATGGTCCCAAATTACACCAATGAACCCTGTCAGGCACACCTGTGAGGTGAAACCATTTCAGGCGACTGCATGAAGCTCATTAAGAGAAGGATGAGGGTTTGCAGCTCTGTCAACAAAGCAAAGGAGCTACTTAGTAAAAATAAAGAAAAACCAATAAATGAGAAGGTGTTCAAACTTTTGACAGTTTACAGTCAAAATATAGCACAGAGCTGCGTCACATGTCAAAAAAATAAAAAATAATACAATAGACAGACAAAGAAACCATTGATTACAGACCTGTTCACCAGGCACTTCTGTTGGAGGATGCGGTAAACCTCAGCTGAGGTGGCAGGACCCTGGAGCTTCTGACCATTAAAAATCTCCTTCTCCAGCACTTCAATACTCTACCAGCAGGTGTGACGAGAAGAAAATACAAGAAAGTGCACAATTAAAAAGCAGTTCGTCATTTCAAACTAAAAACAGTTCGAGCTAATAAAGTTTTACATAGTAATGCGTAATGAGGAACGAGAGCAGATACATTACAACAACCAAATGTGACGGTGCACACACCTTCCCTGTTCTAACGAAGGCCTCTGCTGCTCGTCGATTGCGGCCGCCATAGCACGTAGCGATGAGGTCGGCCACACCGCAGCTCTCCAGAAAGGTCGATGTGGAAACCACGCCATTCTTAGAGAAGAGTCGGGCGAAGGTTATCATCTCCATCAAGCCCAGACGGATCACGGCTGCCTTGGTGTTGTCTCCACACTGCAGGCCATCACAAAAACCTGCACTCACTGCAACGATGTTCTTCACCAGCAACAAAACAAAAACACACATTTAGAAAACGATGTAAAGATCTCAATGCAACTCTAACAAAGACTGAAAATCATGTAGTGATTAGTACATCACCTCACACCTGATAAAGCTCGTTATTAACACGACCAAAGAGAAGATTTGGGTTTCAGAAGTTTGTTGGTGCACCCATGCTCCAGTTTAAACACTACTCTTAAAAA